TTTTTATTCTTCTTACCCAATCTCGCCCTTTAGACATTTTATTGAGACAGAGTATCCTTTTGCCGTAAAAATTTTCGAATCTGATATCCATTTGAGCATGTCTCGTCGGACATCGACCATGGCATCGAGCAATTCTTCCAGCGGTGTCCCACCTTCAGGCGATGGAGGTGTGTTTGAGCTCCCTCTGATCGTGCATTGGCAATATAGCTGACATTTTTCAGGTCAGGAGAAACAGAAAATGCTACTTTCCTCGGATCATGGTCATTTCAGCCTGGTGAAGTCAGTCTCGTGCTTCCCGCGCTCCTTTGCCCTCGGTTCAGTCTAACACTCAACAGGGCCATGCATCTTGCTGATCTGATTACTGAAATGAATGGTAAGAGATCGCAAGATCTTCAGACTTTGTTTGAATTGACTCGCTAACTCTATCTTAGGTTTCTGTGGAGGCAAGCTCATGTTCCCCAACCGTTTTTCCAACCCGCGACTAATATGTTGAGCAGTCATGTCGGTATTCTCCTCCATGCGCTACTGCCTCGGAGACCCAACTGAATACGGTTCCATCTGGGCTGCCCTCGCATTCATGCCTTTCGGTTTGTTCTTCGACTTTATGGATGGCAAAGTCGCAAGGTGGCGCAAGAAGTCGTCTCTCATGGGACAAGAACTCGACTCGCTAGCTGACTTGGTAATGGATCCCCGCGAATAACCACAAGCGAGTTTTTGCTAACACCCTTACTCCACTAGATCTCCTTCGGTCTCGCTCCCGCCGCTGCCGCATTCGCTCTTGGTATCCGGACCTCGCTTGATCATGTCTTCCTCACATTCTTCGTTCTCTGCGGTCTGACCCGCCTCGCTCGGTTCAACGTGACTGTTGCCGTACTGCCCAAGGATCAAAGCGGTAAATCCAAGTACTTCGAAGGCACGCCCATCCCAACCACTCTTTCAATCGCCTCTGTTATGGCCTACTGGGTCTCTCAAAGCTGGACGCACGAGAACATTCCTCTTGGACTTGTCGCAGAGGGTACCATCTTCGAATTCCACCCCGTTGTCTTGATGTTCGTTCTGCATGGATGTATGATGGTCAGCAAGACGATACACATTCCTAAGCCATGAGCTCAACCCATACTTGGCCGCGCATTTACTGTTGGAAAAAAAATGCCTGAGTCTGTTGTCTCTCTCAACTTGGACAACTGAAAATAAATATCGAGAGGGGTTTCGTTTGTAGGCAAGGCATAGCATGATCTCGATGCACTTAAATATGGATGCTTAATTGAATTTCAATTGCATAGATTGGCTATAGTCATTGTGGTTTCTGCGTAGGGTGGTCAAGGTCAACATATTGAAGACGTAGCTTTCGGCAACAGCGCAACCCTTGTAAGCAAGTGAGCCATGGATTCTCTGTCAAATTTAACAGCGCGCAATGCACAAGCAATGCTGACCACTTTCATAATTCCATGGTCAGTACACGCTGAGAAATCTTAAAATGAGGTAGGGACAAGATAGAAATATCAATATGTAAACTGACACTTTCCCTGGAGGGTACGCCTTCTGTGTGTGTGGAGATATATCCACTGTTCATCATAGATATTGTATAGACATCCACGCAATGTTGACCTATAGAGATCGTCATAATGACCACTCGACTAGGTATCTCTACAGTCCGTTCAACGAAGACTTCAATACGACAACAAATCATCTCTGAACACAGCAAGCTGTAGTGAAGGCATGTATACATCCTCCCTATTACCAGCTCGTAGATCGCATTGCATCTAATCCAAACACTATAGCGAACCAAGCCTACCACCACCACCCGTGGACAACTCCAACGATGACCATCACCAGACTGAGCCCCCCCAGGTGCCCCCAATGCTACAGAGATGGCATAATACGGATCGTCAACGGCAACATCCCGAATGGCAATGCAGGTCGTCCATATTATATATGTTACCCATGTGATCAATTCATCTGCTTCGCTGATGCACGCGGGATAGGTCCCGCTAACCCGCTCTGCCAATGCGGCGAGTACACTCGTAGGCAGATGTCGGGGGCGCCGCATGGGATTCATTATGTTTGTGCTCGGGGATGGTGTTGGTTCTACGAGAAGGAGATGGAGATGGATGCTGTCCAGCGACAGGTTCCTGCCAGGTCGGTGGAGATATGTGCGAATTACTCTTATATCTGAGATTTGAGGTTTGGTTTGGGTTTGGGTTTGGGTTTGAGGATGTTATTGTGTTTGTTCTTCTTTTAAGGTGGTTTGATTTCCGCTTGTCGTGATTTTAGTTTTAATGCTGAAGCCTGAATTAAGTACCCAACTGGTTATGTCCCTTCTCCGTAAGCAAAACGATACTCTCTCTTCCGAGGAAAGCATTGAGCCGGCCCATCCGCATGCTCTAGAACATGGCAGCTAGCATAATCGAAGGTCACAGGCGAAGTCGGAATTTTAGGATTTAAAATTAGAATAGCGTTGACACTTGCTAGGCATACAGGGAGGCACACAGGGTCTAGACCCACAGTTTCACTTTGATATCTGAATTCGAATTTTCCTTACCCACCTAGGGTCCGATCTAGACGGCCAAATACATACGAAAGATTCAAGCAAATCAAATAGAGTCGTTTATCTTTCAATTTATACTCTCTCGTGGACCGGTAAGGGAATTCGTTTCTACATGATCCCTTTGACAGGTGGAGAATCCGACTGGTCTAGTGGACGCCACTGGTCCCGGAATATCTCAATGTGGTCCAGCCGGTATTTCCGTCGATAAGGTCTAGGCATGTGTGCTTGTTGACATCTTACTGTAGAGTACGGAGTACGCAGTACAGACCGGTATTGCCTGTGCATGCTACGTTTTTGGAGGCTCTTGGCTAGGATGTCGGGTCAGACCCGATCATGAGCAATATGTCTCACTGTTGGAAGATCGCTCATCCATTGAGCTTTTATTGCTTATTGTTTGCTTTGTGGGCTATAGAGTTAGACGTGGGCGCCTTTAGAAGGGGAAAGAAGGGAATTGTGTCGAGGACATGAGTTGGCTATAATTATCAATCGTGGGCAACGAGACGCTAAGTTACCTGCGCAGGCAATTCTGTTGACCGTTGAGGAGTTTGATTCCCACATAGATCACGAGGTTATCTGGCAGTTGCAATAATAATAGAATCTCTGACTCAGAATAGGCAAGGGACTAGATCTGCAAGGTACAGCCGATATATTACACACACTCGATCTAGAGCGCATTTGGCCACTAGTAACTTTATCTCTCTGTTCAGTAAAGGTCTTGTATAATTCTCGCATGATGGTAATGTGGTTGGGTTAATAACCTCCGGTATCTCAGGGTTTGTTATGAGAATATGTAGACAATGCTATGCAGTCAAGTCAGGAACAAAATACTTGAAGCAAATAAACCTCGAGAAATACAACATATCATACAATATACAAGACAAAAGTTCAAGATCGAACCCAACCCTAATACATGCCATTTATAGACCATCATACAAAGGTAGATCTTGAGCCGCAGCCCTATTTTACGAGTCAAATTATGCGGTTTTTTGTTACAGGAACGGTACGGCGTATTACCGTAGGGACAGATCATAATTTGGTATACTCCACCCGGGAGTGGCCGCGCATTACCCATGGAAACTATTTGGATACGTGGAAAAGGGGGCATGAACAAGGATATAGAAGAAATCGATTGAGTACGGAGTTCTTGCGATTACATGAAGTATAAGGCTAAATTCCAATTGCTAAATCCTTCATGTTTCATGTTGTATGGAGTATGGAGTACGGAGTAACGAAGGTTATTATCCCTTGTACGGAGTATTCAAATTAACTCCGCCTAGGAAATGAGCCCTGAAATCTCTTTCAACAGCAAACTCTGCAATCTATCAAATGGAGATCTAAATTTACCCTGGACACCAGCCAAGGATACAATTGTCAGCCACAAAGGACCGTGGCGTATGGTAACCGGTCATTTAAAGCGAAAACACAACAGAGACGGATCAAAAGCATCGTTAGCCGAGGGGTGCGTTGTACAATTTTGAGGGGTAAAACACTCCGTCGTCATCAAGGGTCTTCTTCATGTGGCGAAGGATGCAGGTAACTCTGTAAAGTACGGAGAAATACGGTACATACTCTGTACGTGCATACATAATATTGATTATCCGTCGAGGTTCACACAATGAGGGTCTCATAATCACCGCTTGGCACCCGAAGAAGACTAGCGGCATGTCCAAGGACTCCATCCAGCTCCCGTGTCTGACCCAAATAGGAAAATGATCAACCACAGTCCCCTGGCTTACCGGGGCAGGTGCCTGATTACCTAAATATATGTCGACGTCTCATTGGTGGGATTGTTTGTTTGTCTACTTTGTACCTGGTATTGTACCATACAAGGAGCAAACAACCTTGAAACGACCCGCGAAACTGGTGGGCTGAAAGTATTCGGTACTCGGGTACACCAGGGTTAGCCTCCTATGTTCCAAGTACCTGGTACATAATGTCACTTCTCCGGGGAACACAGACCCCTTAACAGTCCCTTTCTCAAGGGATCCATTATCCGTCACTTCGCCCTCCTGATCTTCCTCCCCTTTGCACACATTCGTTACTCGATTTCTTCGCTCGTTTACTCCCTTTATTCGAGGGTTATCAACTGAATTGCTTTTTACTTCACGGTCGCTCACTCTCTCCCGACTTGTAGGGGGTGATCCTCTACTCGACAACGTACTCCAGGTACCAATCAACACAACGCGAAATCACCTTCTTTTCACTCTTTTTCCGACCGTCAAAGTTCGACTTTCGACCATACGCCCTGAGGATCTGACCGAATAATTCAGGCCCAACGTGGTAGACACTTTTGAGAACAAACGACGTCTACTGGCATACATTCAAACAGAAGTTCTTGAGGGTTACGCAGGCCGTTCCCAGTCCTTCATCAATCACCCCTGCGACTGTGTCCAGCGGTGCTTATTCTCTTCGTTGATTTCGATACTCGAATTCACTACTCTCCCAACACATCATGCTTTTCAACACTCATGGCGCCCTCGTGGTGTCCGGTGTGGTGATGGCAGCCGCCGCGGCAGTTCCAGAAGACTTCAAGGTGGTCCGTCGTGCGCCGTTAGGGACACTTCAAGGTTGTTACTCTAGCATTCCTGGATATGGAAAGTCAACAGGCTGGACATACCAAAGTTCCGGGTGGTGTCTGGACCACTGCGCCAAAGACTACGCGACATTCGCTTTGACAGGAGGCTCAGACTGTGTGTGTGGTAATACGATGCCCCCAGACAGTGCCAAAGTTTCAAGCGACAAATGCAACAAATCCTGCAGTGGCTGGCCTGATGATATGTGTATGTCTATGCCCCTCCTTCATCGGTCTCAAAGAATTGACTTGCTAACGAAATTCTATAGGCGGTGGTACCGGCTACTACTCTGTCTATACCACCAATTTGGAAGACGACGTTCCCACGTACTCTGAATCCGGGTCCACGACCACCACATCAAGCACGAGCTCGAGCAGTACCAGCAGCAAAACGACGACGCAAACCGATGGGTCTACAACTGCTCCCACTACTAGTAGTAGTATTAGTGAAGTTACCGAAACCGCCACATCTGAGCCTACCACGAGCGGTCTCTCTGAAGAGGATATCAATGAACAGTCCTCCAAGGGCAAGAATACTGCCGCGATTGCGGCCGGAGTCGTAATCGGAGTGGTCGGATTCGCTGCTCTCTGTGGTGCTGTCTTCTTCTGGTGGCGATCCAAGAAGAACAGGGTCGGTGCTGTGGGTGGGGTTCCTGGCGGCTATGGCCGTGACTCTGGCCCGCCCTCGATGTCCGATTCTCGCTTCGATGGCGACTACATGGCTCAGCGCCGCCAAAGCAATGGCAGCATCGATGATGACCATGACTTCTCTCGTCGGATCTTGCAGGTACACACGTACAACGCCTAAAAGCATTGTTTCGAAGCTGACTTGTGTCACAGGTGACAAACCCTGATCGTTAAACCAATACCCATTTCCGAACCATTCATGCTCCCCCCCCTTTATTCTTTCTACTTGGTATTAGCGAAACCCAATGTCATTTCTATCTCGGTCGCACTACTTTATGAGAGCTTCTTATCCTGTTGTCATTGTTTTTTTGTCGGGTTATTCAGCGGAGTTATGATATCCGAACGGCATATGGCTTGATCCGAGTCGTCCCCAGCTGGTGACCTGTGTCTGAGTTTCTTTTACCAATCCGTTCCATGACTGCTCCATAGACAACGTTGCCCTACCTGTCCAGCACCTCTTATTGTCTACATTGGGAAAACAACCGCACCATCGGCCTTCTCTGCCGAAGACCCGGTCATTGTATCTTGTTCAATCAAGGTGAAGTCTCTGATATAGAGACGAGTTCGAAAAGGCGTTTCATTTTATTTCAACTTGAATGCTCGACTTTTTTTTTTCTTTTTATGAGCAAACCATTCCTTTATGTGACTCTTTTTTTTTACTTTTTTTTCCCCATGTGGTCTCTTTTCCTATTTCCAGTCAGATCTTTGCCCGTCGGTCCTATAATGAGCTTCTCGCGTTCTGCAATTCGCTCCGGTCTGATCTGATTCAAGGATAGGTGGCTGTAGATAGGCGAGACCATTCAGCTGTACTTAATGTGAGAATCGATATGCACATCAGTCTACGGTCATTTGCTTGTAAACTAGAACTAAAGTGATTTCAATTGGTCGAAGCTGGGTTTGCCGTTAGTTCATATGTATGTCTTGGATATATCTGAGTGTTTTAGTGTTTATTCAATCAGTATATTTGCATTGATCATCTTTTAATGTCTCAACTGGTTCACTTCCTATGGGCCTAGCGATCCTAGTTCGTAAATTGATATAATCAGGTCCTAAGTCAACTATATATTGTGACATCACCTTGAACCCGGAAGGTTTATCGCCTTGGATTAAGTCATGCGCCTCACTTTAAACTTAGATTCTAAGAGGCAATGAATAATGAGAACTCATTACAAAGTACAAGAGACCGAGGCAGAACTCCAAATTTATTCAGTATGGGAGCTCAATATCAAATAGATCCCCCAAAATGCATGCACTACCGCACATCGCAAATCATCATCGAAAGCCTCAACGGAGGCAACAGATCACGAAGATCACCTGAAGAGAAAATGAAGAGAAAATGAGAAGAGATCGAGACAAAAAACTACACCCTTACTTACAGCAGAGGAATAGCCAAAGGAAATGCCGCCATCATGTCCTTGTACCAGCGAGCGATGTTGGGATCGCTGTGGTCATACTTCTCCCGAATCAGCGCCTCGATGGTTTGCTTGAGCGCGAGGACTTCGATGTACCAAGGCAGGGCAAACTGGGTCTCGAGACGGAGGTACTGGCGAGCCGCATGCTCGAATTGGACGAGCTTCGGATGCGGCGTGCCATCGCTCCGGAGACCAAGCGAAGACGGAGCCTGGAAAGACGCATGCTGGTGGGTACAATATTGAGTGTATGCCGCCATATCTGCCTAAACCCCTCGAAATGTAAGTGGATATTGTACGAAAAGAGCGATGAAACTTACGGCATCTCCACCATGCCGGCCCGCGAGGCTGTGGGCCTTGCCGTGGGATTTGATCAGACAATCGAGAGCCGAGCAGAGGTCTCGAACCGCCCCTGCAACGGCGTTGACAATCTCGATGTCGTGTACTAAGCCCACATCCTCGCCTTTGCCAATCCCGGATTCCTCGTTGATCCAGATCTCCTGGACCCATTCCAGCAATGCCTGAAGTTCGAACCCGTGGCCCCGGATGCCTTCGTAAGGCTAGAAAGAAGTATTCTAGATGAGTACATACACGACTGAATGACAAGAGATCCTCAAAGAATACCCACAAGTTCACACCTATGGCGGGCATGGCAGCATCTTTGGCAACGCTTCGAGGTGACTGGATCGCGAATGCAGTTCACCTTGAAGGGTTGACCCCACTTCGTCTCGTCCCAGGCACGCAGTGATACCCTGAAGCAGTGGATACACCACCCCGTCTCTGCGGGAAAAGGGTATTCGAGAAGTTGCGGGTCAAAACCCAGACTCGCTAGTGTTTCAGCAGGTGTTTTCGGAAGCATGATGAAGAAATGTCTTTAATGGAGAAAAAATGACATTGAAGCAGGATGCAGAGGTGAAGAAGAGAAGACAGGAAAGTGAAAGAATGAAAAGATCAGTCTCGAGGTAAACAAACCTTGAAAGGTAAACAAAGCAAACACATTAGATGAGTCTGATATTCCTTTGATGTTTTCTTGGAAGGAGCAAACGAGAAAGAAACGCTCCTTCCTTTCCCTTCCATCCTAAATGAGGTTATTCGATCACCGCTCTTGCCTAGAAATGTCTGGGCATAGAACAGTCCAGTTCAGTCTGTTTTTGGACCGAACCATACAGCTGAGATAAGAGGAAACCCTCTAGCTACCCTTCGCTAATGCCTACAAACCATCTCTCACTTCCCCATGATATCAGGAAAGAGATACACACAGACCTCAAGCCACATAGGCTATAACTGCCAGCTGGCTAGCCCCAACAATAGCCAACAACCTAGTCCATAACACAGCCTCGCCCCCAACTTACTCGTTGAGATCCATGGTCCCAGTAGGCCAACGCCGGACCCAACAGCGGCTGACAGCCACATGGCTTCATGCGACGCTAATCTAGCGACGAACTAGATATGCAGGAGAGAGAAAAGAGACCGAAGGATTCCAGTCATGCTGGTCTCGTTGGTAGACTGTGGCAGCTGATAAATCGAGCGTGTTGGCGAGTTAGCCTTTGCCCAACGAAGGATGGAGTATTTCCCGTTGGGGCTGAAAATTAGCCGCTCAAGATATTGGACGCAGACTAGGCTGAAAAGAGTAGGACACTAATCGAATGAGCTGTTTTTGATCTAGTTGACATGCATCAAAGCCTGAGATTGCCACTACTCTTTGCCAACTTCCCTCCTCGGTACAGTCCTCCGTGCATGGTCACATATTTCTGCTCCTACCTCATGTCAGATATTTCTACATATGCGGAGGTGCCGTAGATTATACAGACTCGAACAGGCGCGGATCAATATGAAATATAAATATACACCGTATACTGCATCTTAAAAAGGTCCACTCCATACAACATAGAGGGCAATCATAGCACGCTAGCCATTCCTATTCTCAGCCCGCTTCAATCGGACAATTATACAGTCACCCCAAGACTGCAGGACAATTAGCCAATCAAAATTGCAGCAAAACCAACAGCGTCACCAAGCATGACTAGCAGATGCACGCTGGCGCCCTGAACACCGGGTGCGCATGATGTCATGCAGGTAGTGTCTATGGCTATGCAAAGCTAGACTCGAGCGCATCTAGACAGGGTAATATGACCCCGATTGGCTTAAGGCTTGTTGGTTGTTAGTAGTTCCAGAATAGCAATTCCTCCGCGAACTATAAAAAGACGGTGTATTGTTCCCTAATTAGCTTTGTGAGGTGGTATCCTAGCAGCCATGCTAGTTGCTAGTCTAGGTACTTGCATGTTGGGAAGACTAAAACGGTATAGTATTGCGCTTAGTGTGATGCTCTCTAAGCAACCTAGTTACCCAAGCAAGCCAAATTAACTACCCAGTGGGAGCACTCACCCGTTGAGTGATCTGCAAAGGCCCACAGCTTTTGGCCATGTGGTATCGACGGAAGAGAGCGGGAATCAGCCCCGTTCGCATATCGGAAATTGTGACTCTCCGTGCGGAGTATAGCGAAAGAACCGTATAGGGAAATGAGAAAAGGGGTAATCGGGAGAATCGAGATGGACAATATATATTGTAGATCTATTTGACCCATACTAAGCACTGTAATGTCGGAGTAACTAGATAAATGCATCTCAAGGTCTTTTTTTCAGGGTTAGCTCGTTCAAACCCCTTTGTTGTGCAGGTCGGCGTTTGCTTTCGGCTTAGAGTTACATTTTCTATCTATCTACAACATGGCAATTACAGGTACTACTCCATAACTGGGAGATGAAAGTACCGACATATTACTAGATTACAAAAGTACCTGGTAGTATTTTGCGTTAATTCGCTAGCATAGACGGATAATTTAACCATCACCGAGCCGATATATTATGTACTCTGTACGGCGTGTGATAGTGTAGTCAACTAGCTAATGGTTAGTTAATGGTTCTAAACAAGAATATATATTATATCATTGCTTCGCTTCGCTCCGCAACAAAATATGCGCACGAGCACTTTCTCTAACCACTGACATGTTTGTCCACGGACACGGTAACGGGAACGCAGATGAAACAGACACAGTCGCCTATTCCTGTTCTAGTTAACAGTCCAGTACAAATTATCTGGAATTAGCTAGTGGCTATCATCTCATGCACACGCTGCAGTAGTGCTGCAGTAGTGCCTGCATGGTTACGTGCCCTAAATTAGCTCGCATTTCTTTTCCTTTTCCAGCCACATGGGCTACGGCTCGGCCGTACGGGTACTGAGTACAAAGTACTATGCATTTATATTTGATTTGCTCGAATCAAAAGAGATTGTTTTCTTTTTTTTAAAAGGAAGAGTAAAACCAATAATTTATTGAAATAAACTCATATCGCTATACATAATTTCCCGAGAGATTCCACCTGCATGAAGTATGTATGGGGATCATAATGGCAGTGCTATGCCATTATATTATATTAAATAACCCCAAAAGAACGATCATTACCAGATATAGGCATTGGTGGTCAGGCACTCGAAACTCGAAATCTGCCTCGCAAGCATGGCCACATGGCATGGTCTGATCGACGGGTCTATCTGAAACGGGATCGAAATGGCCCAGGACCTGCAGGGGCATGCCATTAGCGCAGGCTTGCAAAGGTGTAAATGTCGAAAAAGCAATGCTATGCCGAAGCTCCTATGAAAGGAGAAAATGAGTATTTATTCTAATTCTTCCGACTTCGGTAAACCGTTGCTCCACTTAGAGTCCAGACTCGACGCTCTTCCTTTTTTTAGTATGTTAGAGAATTGCTACGATCGGAGCCCTTGTGGGGAAATACCCCAGAAACAGGAAATTTACGTAGATTCCTTGATGACGATGTATAGAATGTCAGTAACTATAGCATCCTGGCAACACTAGGTGTGGCAGATCTCGGGACATGAATAAGGGGATTGTCGAGCGTGCAGGTGACGAGTCATGTTCTCGTCATCTCTTCGGTTAATCCCTGAATGATCCCTGCAAGTGTGCTGTATGCGGTATGGCTCGTTTTGGTCAAGACAGGGGAACCCGCTTGGAAGACAAATTGCCTCACTAACGATCGCCAGTGACGATGGAGCAAAAAACATTGATAGATAGCGACGATCTGCTGGACAGGACTGGACCGTGCAGATCGATCACACTTTTTCTGGCCTACGAAGTCCATATTGAGACCCGCTGCATTGGCGATAATCGCGATCATTATTGTGGAGCTATTGACCAGCACCTGGCAGAGAGAAAACTCGATTCACCAACGTGAACAGCAACAGAAGATCGAGATCATAGGGATAATGGCGATGCTAGTGGGGGTAATCGTATAGCCGAGTGGACCTGACCTAACCGGATTCACATAATGCACATCCGCGCTTACAATCGAATTCTAGCATTTGGTGCCCCTTCCACGTGGGCGCAGTCAATCACCAGACCCTAGCAGGTATCGGAATCTACGGAGTTTGAAGGGGTAACCTTGCTACATAACTCTAAGAGGAAAGCTCGGGTATAGCCGATGTCTCCTATCTCTTTCGGCCAATCCCAAGCGAGGGAGGTCCAGGTAGTTCAACCGGGACATCGGGAATAGCCGTACAACATACGGAGTAATTCCGACGGTAAACAGTAACTTCGGCTATTTATCCCGGAACAGGGGGACGGAGGACGGAGACGGAGTATAGCAAATGTCCTGCGCTGATTCGAACCCGATGCACCCGGGTTACAGGGCCACTTTCTTGCGAGTTATTAAGTCACAATATAACTACAGAGCGTTTAGGGACCGCCAAGACTCGGAGCGGTTCGATCAAACGAATCAGAAATAATAGCACTTCTACCAATCAGAAAAATACCCTAGATCTGAGGTGAGATTCGTCTTCCATGGAATACTCCATGATGCCTATGATGTACATAACTGACTAGTTAGTTAGCACGTCCCTCTTATATCATTGTACAAGCCTTATCCGTAACATTGCCACTTCGCTCCTTCAATGCTTAACCATCCTGAGAATCGTGCGATCCACCATTACGGGAGGTTAAAAGGGGAGCTTCAGATTCACCGATTAACATGCTACTCTCGGTCCCGGAAGGGCCACCTCTTGGCCAAAGTGAGCTGATTGAAATTAAAGAGCCTCGAAAGCTTAGGGGGCCGAGTGGGGACGCATACACGCTGCTATATTCCGAGTCCAAATCGGTCATTTCTCATCTCCCTTCTGTCCAGATCGAAGTCGTCCAAATGAAATATTAACTTTTCAAGGGACGTACTCTAACTTGGGTGCGCCCATATCGATTCAAAGGCTCTCAACATGGGCGCACGTTGCGGATACATACTCTAATTTAATCTAATACACTTCGAATTGTGCCACAGTGTGAATTGCTACTCCATACTTCGTACCCGCAAATTAGTTTCGGGTGCTATTTTGTCGATCAGGAACGAATGAGGGAGGGCGTAATACGTATAACTATGCACTCCATACACAGTTATCAAGTGGCTGTGTTTATATCTCTACCACAACGGTAGTATAAGAATACGAAGTATGAAAAGGTACTCCGTAGACTAGCGTGCATGGCCTGGCGTAGGTCCCGCGTGGACGGAGTAAGCATCTAAAAAAAGAACCAACATCAAACCGACCTCTCTGACTGGCTCGTTTCACAAAGTATAGTCACATAGTCAATTGTATGTTGCATGCCTTTCTTCGTGTTCTGCATGGCAGCCGGTACTATTGTAAGCAAGGCTTATTCAGAGTAATCTTCATGTTCAAGAAAAAAATGGCTATTCATAGATTTTAGATACCTAGATCTTCCGAAGACTGGCAGCTCATGCGAATACTATCAATGCAGCATCATCCCACCTGGGCATACATACCCCATATTATCTAAATCCCTCAAATGTGGCTGTTGACATCATCTAAACGACAATGGCCGACGATCCCAACAGCGCTACGAAAGAATAAGCGCTGTTAGATTTTTACATACAAAGGTGAGTTGGCGACACCATCCTAAGATTTGAAGCCTCCATGATCTACACAGACGCTAACAGCCACGAGCCATGGGAAATTGCAAGCACAGCGGAAAATAGCGCGAAACAGATCGCAAGCATAGAATTAATTCCCTCTTAAAAAGACCGATTGGTCCATAATTGCACACTTCCATATTAATACCGGGTCCCTCTACACCAAAAACGGCCTAGATCAAGATTATGCACAACAAGGCTGTGAGCGCAACTAAGTAACGACGATCGCTAGGGCCCAAAAAAGGAAAAGAAAAAAAGTCCAATTACACAAAACCCCAGGCTAAGCCCGCTTTCTGGCCCTAGCCGCAGCAGCCGACCAAACATGGCCAAGACCCACTCTTGGCTACAGAGTGGGAGCATGTTGTATAGGGCAGGGCACGAAGGAGAGGCAGGGATGCATCATGCGTGTCTAAACTTGGAACCTGGGAAAAATTAAACGAGAGGCTGTGGTATAGTTCCCGCATGCTGCATATGTGCCTCGTTCTGGTTTGGGTCCGTCTATATCCAGTTATGGAACTCGTTTCAAGATCCCTGTAAAACTGCCTTGCGATCATGATTCTCATCGTGGATCCTGGTAATCCGTGATCTGCAACAATGTACGGTGGATCGTGCGAGAAGAACTTCTATATTTCTCTCCACAGTTACCTAGTGCCCGTGATCTGTCTGATCGGTCCGTATAACATAGGTAGATGGTGGTATATACTAGTGACGGGCGTCAGCACGGGACGTATTTTAGCCTGGAATGATCCTTCGAGGATTCCTGCATAATGTGCACTCCCGCTCGTTATTTTAGTCTATTGTTCCTTGTTTTTAGGGATGTGCTTGGCGGAAAGGATCTTGGAAATTTAGAGAAGCAGGGATAGTTAGAGGTAGCGTGTTTTAATGTATATTCAGAATTAAATTTGCTATAGATAGCGTATTAAGTTCCTGATGCTTGCCCTGCCACGAGGGTGACAGGGGACCTATTCTCCGGTCCTGCATGCGGTGGCGTGCAGGGTAACTTAGTCCCGGTGTTGGGTCCCCGGGACAAAGATGGTGTGTATGAGGATTCATATCCTTATACTCCGGATGTAAATCAATACGACCTTGACAATATGGTGGGAAGCAAATAGTTCCCCACGAACCCTGACGTTTTGAAATCGGAGCCCGGAGTTCTAAGGTATCCGTCCCCTCCCCCAAGAGTCAAGGATCGGCGCGCTGAAACAAAAGCGCAAACCTTGGAAACGACCAAATGCCAAGACCCAGCCAAGGTCCCCGGGGCCCTCTTTTCTTTTTTCTTTTTCTTTTTTTTCTTTTGCCCTTTCCCTTTTGGGTCTAGTGGATCCGGTCTAGTTCGGTTCAACTGACCTCAAGTTTGGTTGAGGCTTTGGTCGAATCCATGGATCCACCGCTCCCGTTCTGGTTGAGGTCATATCTGACATTTGAAAAAGTACCTCTTCGCTGTATATCGTGGAGCGACAAAAGATTAAGAGTATCAAAGTGCTTATTTTCTATAATTGGACTGTATTCCTAATTCAGAATATCCCCCGCTAGTCCAGTCGATATCGATCCAGCCCTGTCCCGAGCCTCTTACACCCCCTTTTCGGAATAGCGCGAATTCTGGGTCTGCGAGTTGCCCGAATCAGCGCACGCCCCACTGATATTTATGTCCCTTAGCTTGGATGGAGCAAACCCGTTACATTCCGTGGAAGCTTGGACTCGCAGCCTCGGGTCCTCCACGTTGACAGGATTTGGAATATCAGAGCCATTTTAGCGGCTTTCATACATGGGATGATTTGAAATCATTGAGCTTATTCTAGCTATTCATGAATGGATACGGAGTACTCCGTATTACTTTAATCCTAAACGCTAATTCACGGTACTTCCATTGACGGTAGCCAAATTGCGCATCTCTAGCACAGCCATATTCCAATTTCTTATTATCAAAGGGCGGTTGCAAAGCCTCAGCCGCACTCAGGTTCTTATGCAATGCTGTGTAAATTTAGTACGCTTATGCTCTGATCATCCCGCAGAGCGATCATCGCCTCCACGCCCGTGCTGTTTCCCTGGATCTAATCTCAGTTAGCCCTAGTTGCCTTAGTTCGCCTTAGTTCGCCTTAGTTCTTATGTTGGATTTATTTTGGTTGGAATTATTATTAGCTTGGATATTGCGATTAATTGTTTTTATTTTATTGTTTTTTTATTTTGGATATTAATTTCCAATTCGCTCAAAGTTTATCAATCCTCGTAGATCGTAGGAACAGTGTATATCAGTCCACTCTCTTCTCTTCCTCGTCTCTTCTCTTCTTTCAATATTCTCTGCGTCTTACATCTCATCCATACCAGCCTCATATCTATCCTATCATTCCCCTTTCATACTTACCCACTCCACTTACATTCTATTCTCCAACACATCATGGCTCGGAAATCTACAGGGCGCATCAGTCCAAAGCACATCGTCTCTGTCTTGAACTCGCCTGCCGTTTCCTCCTCTTCGCCAGAACCCCGTCAACTAGCGGCTTCCAACGTGGTGCGCCGGAAGAAGAACATTCGTCCAAACTTGGCAGATGCGACTATTCCTGTAACCTATACACCAACCACCCATCGCATCAGCAAGGCCAAGAAGGGAAAACGTGTACATGCCTGCCAATACCCAGCATGCGGAAAGGTCAGCACAATCATCTTCACCTATCAAACATCAAACTGACTCCATTGCAGGTCTTCACCAGGGCAGAGCACCGAAGACGCCATGAGTTGAACCACAACCCCGAGGCATCGTACCGCTGCGCAACAGAAGGATGCAACAAGGCATTTCACCGCGCTGATCTGCTTGTGCGCCACATGGAGAGACAGTGAGTACCTTGGGAATTGGCTACATGGCGCATACTAACAACCATGGCAGTGAACTCGAATCGAAATCAGAAAAGTCCTCATTGGCACCCAACCCCATCACCGAGTCCCCTGTCTCGCCCTGTATGTCAATGGACCACGGAATTCCATTGGCTGCAACCTCCCATTCACACTCCATGTCCATCGGCGCACTCGTGGCTCCTGGCATCCATCCGGATCTTGCCAACAACGACTGCTCATTACTGTGGAGCGGCATCGAATTGCCCCTACAGCCCCGCCCGGCTTTCCACAGCCAGCTGCCCGAGTCTGTCGACGACAGCCCGTTCTATTCTTCCCCCGCAGAGACCTGCCCCTCGCCTCTGTCGGATGCGACTTTTTCTCTTCCTCCATACTCGAGCTCCTCCATCTCTTCCGCTGGGTCTGTCATCGACCAGTACCCGAGCAATATCGTGAAGAGCGAGCTCACTTCGTCCCCGCTTCAGATGCACACTCCGCTCCGTTGGAGTACTGAGGGTGGCATGCCTCCGTCGGACCTGGTCCCCATGTCTATGGGGGAGAACATGATCCAGCCTGTTCAGTGCCACTATCCCTCTCCTTCGTGGTCCAGCGCAGACTGCCTTCCATACGATCATTCCATGCACCAGTTCCAGCCGGTGAGCTGGGCCATGTGAAAAGATCGAAGCTATTTGGTCAAACATTGACTGTAGATGGCTGAATATCTGACGACTACACGACCACCGCATTTCCCTTCATACGAAACCGGCACGATCCAGCCCCAGAAAACCTTGAACTCCATGACAAAGACAACAGGTGTGGGTCCAAGGAACGGGAGGCCCGGTGTGGTCTCGACTCCCTACAAATGGCTCAACCGTCATTAGCAGGGCTCTCCACTAACTCCATTGTTGCCCGGAATGTGACCGCCTGGAGGATCGCCTGGACTTCGGGTCCGTCGGTCACCGCCGCTTACACCACGCGGCCACAAAATAAAAGCCCAAAGAAGATAAGCTAATTTGCCGATATCGGCTGGTTAATTCCTTAGTCTGGCGTCCAGAGACAAACTGGGCATTAGACTGGAAGTTTTTTCTCTTCTTTGTTTAACGTTTTCCTTATGTGAGATTTCCGACGACATGATCATGATTGCTTGTTTTTCTTTTCTCATTTGTCTACCTAACTACTACACCATTATACCCCTACAGGCCATTCAATGTACCTCGAAACTCGTTCCAAGCTGATCTTCATACTCCTACAAAAGTAAAGCTCAAATTCAACAAAATAATAACCCCGATATAAAGTTCAACTCTATTAAACAACCACCCATGGTTCGGCCGGCCGTCACAAAACCCGTAAAACGCAAGCGAGATAAGCGATCTCCGATCGGAGCGGAAATATCTTCCACAGAGTCGAAGCCGTCGGGATAAACTCCGCTTATGTAAGGGCGGAACCGGAACAAAGCGACCCTCCCCCTTCCTTCCTTCATTCACCTGGGGCAACGCAATGACAAGGCAACCTGAGAGACTCGGAGCTTCCAACCACTCAAATTCCTTCTCGGCCGTAAGTTGGACAGCGTACATTATCTCCGGGTAGCCTTGGGCCCTACCTTACAACGAATTGTAGCTTACCCTTCGGACGAAAAGACTTGGCTACCTCCACCTTTAGTCCCGCAATACCCGCAACACCCAGCCTATTCTCAATGAGGTATACGGACCTCTTCGCGCTAGACTTGTTCTGGGTTGAGGGGGGAATATCGTTATTTGGATGGGCGGGGGGTGGCCGCTTATATTTGTAATCTTTTTTAGTTATCTTGAGAGTTAGTTAACTAGTTAGTTAACTATGTATTGTGGGTTTTTGGATGAGATCTGGATGGTCTTGAGGTGGGGAGTTGAGGGTTGGTTTTCGACTGATTTATAACTACGGAGTACGGAATACGGAATACGGAGTACTTATATTGACTATCTAATGTATTGATTGGCCTTGTATCCATTGTCTCTTGTCATGTTGTATACATTCTTCATGTACTTTTCTCCCCGATGGAGTGAGTAAGTGAGTGAGCGAGTGCTTCGTACGGAGTACACTACTCTCCGCTCCGTAGGTACTCCGGATAACGGAGTAGAGGAACTAGAGCTCTCGACTCGGCTGTGGGGCATGTTAGGCTGGCGTGTCGATCAGGGGTTCTCGGGGGTGTCACGCGGCTTTTCGAGGCCGGGGCTTTCGTTCAGACCTGCCTGCTTGAGTGGTGGTGTGGATTTGCTATTTGTTTGGATTCTTGGATTCGGTGTGTTGGGCATGATTGTTGTGGGGTGTGAAGTGGTCTTGTGGTGGATTGCTGTATGCTGACGCAGTTGTACATTGGGAGGGGAGTGATGGCTGCTTATACTGTAGGGACAAAGATTGCATCGGGCTTATAGTTGTGGGCCAGAAGCAATTTTTGACTCGTGTTGTAGTCATCTTTATCTGAAAGTAGACAGAAGGCTGCATATTCATTGGTGTAGTCCTATGAGGACGTTCCAAGGAACAGAAACAAAGAGAAAGTAAAAAGCAGGACTTCTTGATAGCTGATTACTTTGACCATGTACGATACATAGTATGCAAATAAATTTGATCCATCATTCTCAACGATTCCCTACAACATAGGGAACGCCATCCCATCGCCTCGAGGATCACTGCCCGCAGCATAAACCAGCTTCCCATCATCATAGTACGAACGGATGATCTGGCCGCGACCAAACATAGCCCGCTTCCAACCTTTCAAAACCTCAATCTTGTGACCAAGACGACGCAGTCCCTCCACGGCAGCATCACTAATACCCTCCTCAACCCAGATCGTGCGGTCAGTACTCTCCTCATTCGGTGCAGCAATACAGAAGCGCGGGGAATCAAGCGCTGCCTGGGGATGATACCCGAAGGCAAGCATGTTGAGCATAACCTGCACATGGCCCTGCGGCTGCATAAAGCCACCCATGACACCATAAACGGAATGTAAGGAGCCATCGGCGATATTAGTGATAAGGGCAGGGATGATAGTGTGATATGGCCGCTTGCGCGGAGCTAGGACATTAGGGTGGCCTTCCTGCAGCGAAAAATTGGCACCACGGTTCTGCAGCGTGAAGCCACAGCCAGCAGGGATAATGGCCGTTCCGAACCCGGCATAGTTACTGTTGATGAAAGAGATGCCGTTGCCTTCGCGGTCCGTCACTGCGAAATACACCGTGTCGCAGTGATTGTGTGCTGGACTGCCGTGGTCCAGGATATCCGCTGCGTGCTCGGGTTTGAATAGCTTCGCCCGCTCTGCGAGGTAAGCCGGATCGAGTAGGCCCTGCGAAGGTACGCGCTCCACGTCTGGATCTGTGACCCACCAGGCTGCGTCGGCGAAGGCGATGCGCAGACTCTCAATCACGGCGTGTAGGTATTCGGCTGAGTTATGCTGGGCCTCGGTGAACTTGGGGATCTTGCCTGCTTTCTCGAGTTCCTCCATGATGCCCAGTGCCATTAGCGCCACAATGCCCTGGCCATTTGGTGGGTGCTCCCAGATCTCAACACCCTTGTTGGCTTCGCCATCTGTGCCGGATGTTGATTTTGAGACGATATCCTGGCCGGTGAACTTGAGTGAAATCGCATCGACTTCCTGCGACCCGACTTCGGCGTGATAGGCTAGATCCTCGAGTGACATGTAGCCGCCCAGATCTTGCACCACCTTTACGATGGCTTCCGCGATCCGGCCCTGGTAGAATCCTTTCTTACCATCTGCAGCGAGCGCACGGAAGGTCTTGGCCAGAGTGGGATTCTTCATGATCTCGCCGGGAAGCGGGGCTCGCACGCCATCTTTGGCTGAAGGATCGACTTTCAACATCTCACGGAAGTTTGGAGATGCATTGCGGATTTCCTTCTCAGAAACATTCCACTGCGCGGGGTTAGTTGATGGTGCGATTGCGATGGAATTTAATACTTACGCCCTTTGACGAAAGCTCCGACACCGGGAACCCCTCCTCTCCCAGCTCAATAGCAGGCTGTAGAATCTGCTCGAGCGATAACTTACCACTACCAAACTTCTCAACTGTATCCACCCATCCCGCAGCCGCTCCAGGCGTGGTCACAGATAGAGCATTCAACATGGGCATGTTGCCCGGCTCACCAGGGGCCAGACCGAGGTCCTTGCGGACTTTCTCCAAGCTGGCATTACCAGGATACCGACCAGAGCCATTGAGCGCATGTACCTTCTTCGTCTTGGCATTGTAGAAGAGACAGAACATGTCACCTCCGATACCGGTAGAGCCAGGCTCAGTCATGTTAAGTCCGGCGGCTGTTGAAGCATGAGATCAGTTCATTGTTTCCTGTTGTGATTCTGCAACTCGAGGCGAGGCTTACCCACGGCAACAGCAGCATCCTGGGCAAGAGAATAAGTCAGTATTGTTGAAGTTGAATATGACACGTAGAATGGAACGATGTACATACCGCTGCATTTCCGCCCTGGCTCAGGATCTTATGGCCTGCAGCCGCGGCTAGTGGTTGAGTGCATGATACGATGCCCTTGGTGCTGTGGACGGTACTCCGTCGACTGGGAAATGGGACATAGTCCGCATTGGAGCGCGAATATACGGCTTTTGCGTTGAGCGGCATGACTTGGATGATGACCCCAGGGAGAAGTGGGAGAGCGGGGGATATGAGGGGATATCAGACGCTTATCAACCCCACTAATTTCCCCGGGCTGTCGCGAATGATAAGAACAGTGAGGTTTTGCGAATTGGGGAAAGTTGTTGACTCCAAATTGGACTTTATAATTACTAAATAACTACTCTGTAACGTAACTACCTAGTTAACTACTTCGTACCTAAGTACGGAGTAAATAACACTCACTATATATATAGGGTACTCTTACCCGATTAGGAAAGGCCTTAGCTTATGTACATATACCTGGTAGTTCGGCCGAGGTTAGCTAGCAAGGGTATACACATATCGTTCCATCGTTCTATCATTGTTCTTTCCACATACTTTGTATCATCAGAGACCTCAATTCTGAAACAAAAACAGACATGATCACGTAACTCACCGCCCCGACTTCGGAGCGGCAATTAATCCTTCGTTCCGCCATCATCCCGCCATTGAATTTCCTATGACGCTTGTCTTGTCTGATGAAACTGATCTTGAGAAAGGCCTCTGATGGAGCAGCATGGTGGTATTTGTCGACCTCGATGATTCATTCGCTGACGGATCGGCATTCTTGGAGAAGCCATACCCTTTGATTGCTGACCCCAACACGGAGTCAGCCGAACTACCCACGTCGCATACTTCCCCGAATAAAAAGACCGATGAGATCTTAAACCCCAATCGGAATGGATTCTCCGCGGCTTTGAGTTGTTATCCGTATGTCTTTGTTTGTCAACAGCCAGCAAATAATAAGAAACAGACCCCACTAACAGTTCGCCCCATAGCATTGTCAAGGAAATCGCTCGCGCTATCGACTTGAATACCCTCTACGCCCTCTCGAATACATGTCGTCAGTTCCATCTGAACTTGGCACCGTTTCGCCAGCAATTAGCGAGAGAGACCCTCCGGTGCGACAATGAATACATCGAAACCCTAGCAGAGATGCTAGACAGCGGCGCTGTCCTCCCAGACAGTGTCAAATCAGTCATACGACTACTGAGCCGTCCCGGCGGCGAGCATATCCGCATGACCCGCGGGAAGGTGGGCAAATGCGCGCGCGACATGGTGGGCGAATGTCGACGCTGCGCCAAGGTTGTATGCAGAGTAAGCCAAATCCGCCCCCCCGCCTAACAAATACCAGTCGCTAAACCCAGCTGGCAGAATTGCACAATCAAACCCCCTTCCCAGCCAGCCCTTAAAAACCGTATCCGCCGCCTCTGCCGAACCTGCGGCACAGCGCCGCTCTCCGCCCACCTCTCCCACACAAGCTCGGACCCGCACACCCCCGACCCGTTTGATGAGAACAGCGTCGCGGCTATTGCGTTCGCGCGCAACCCTTGTAATTGTGAGGAAGCTGTCTGGCTGTGCACGCAGTGCGGAATGACATTGCGCACTAATGACACGACATACCGTCGTGTCTGGGCGTGGCGCACGCGCTACAGCACGTACCTCGGCGGCGGGTTGGGTACTGACATTGGTGAAGGCTGCCAAGGGGTCAAGTGCGGGCGTGGTGAGAACTGTCTTGCTGCGCAGGAGATTGAGCTTGAGGTCGACTGCGAGGCTGATGAAGGGTCTGGGTCTGGGAGTGACACTAGCAGTACTGTACAGAGTCCTGCTCCTCCGTCGTTTGGTTATGAAGGAATTGGTATCTCGATGGACAGCCATGACGATGAGGAGCCCGGATATTGCAGGCAGGAAATCATTGGGTTGGGTGGTGTTGTTAAGCATAAGTCTAAGAAGAGAGTCAATGTTGGTGCATGTGTTGTTGAGTATGAGGACGAGAGGGAGACAGGGAATTATCTTGAGAGGGAGGAGAAGGGTTTGTATCGTGGTTGGTGTGGGTGGTGTTCTAGAGTAATTCCGGCGAAGAACGAGCAGACTTGATTGATTTTGCTACTTATGACTGTCTGCTTTAGGGCTTTGCATGTTGCATGCTGCATTTGATGCTTCGGCGACTTTTTTATTACGACTGATGCTGGTGAAGCTTTGCATTAAATGACATATATCATGACCCATGATACGGGGTCGCTTGGACAGATGCTACGATGACCTCAAGATAGCTATGCGAGATGTGTAAATGACGATATCACAAATCAAAAACCTTGTCAAGTTGATGCATATTCAATTAAATCTTGCTAATAAGAAACAATTCAAGTACTCCTGCAATGATTCGCCCCCCAATGCAAGCACAAATCCATCAAGCATACAATGTCATCAAGCATACAATGTCACATGCAGATCGTTTCGTTAAAGTAAAAGACAAGGTTGGAAGTGAAAAGGTGCAAAAAATCCGTATGGTCTCAATGGGCAGCAATCGTTCTCCAGATAGTCTTGAGCCTCGACTCCTCTCGAGGAGGTGATTCCTCGCGCCTGTGGCGACGATGAGAGCGTTCCTCTCTTGACTCCCTGGAACGCCGGGAGGCGCCCTCAGGCCTCTTCTCCCGCTCCCTCTCCGTATCACCTTCAATTTCCCGTTCACGTGCGTGCTCATGCGCACGCTCATGCTTCTCTCGATCTCTCTCCCTCTCTCGCTCTTTCTCCTTCTCTCTTTCTTTCCTCTCTTCCCTAGATCGACCGTGCTCTCGGCCGTGCTCTCGACCGTGTTCAGTCGAGTGTCGCACTCTCCTGCTCTCAGTGCGCTCAACACGCTCACTGCGAGGATGCTCCTCTTCGCGTCGTGACCGTGATCCACTAGACCGACCAGCAGACTGACCCTCCTCATACTCCGCCCGATCGTGACGGCTGCCACTGCTATGACTTGGCGATGATCGGCGCGGATTTTCAATCGGCGGTGCAGCCTTGGTGGCATTTAGGCGCAGCAAAGGCCCATTGGTATCCGACTTGCCTTCTGTCATGTATCGCAGGAAGGCACGGGGCTTGGGCGTCGGTAGCGATGTTGATACCTGCTTCGGTGAAGAAGTCCTGGTTGAGCGGGCTCGTTCGAGAGGGCTCGAGGGAGTATCGGAGGTGCGGCGTTTGGATCTGTGCTCGATGACTTCGGCCTCCATTTCTGGTTCCATTGCTCTCTCCTGCTCCTTCGCCTTCTCCTTGGACGAGCTCTTCGAGCGTTTCAGTTTGTCAGGGGCGGGGATGCCGCTGCGCTCTCGTTCCTCGGCAAGAGCGCGCTGCTTTCGTTGCAACTGGGATTTCTCATCATGTTGGCGTCGTGCTTCTTCCAGCGCTTTGGCCCAGCGGTTGGTGAAGATGCCTCGTTCGCTCTTCTGGCGCTGGAGTTGATCCCGGTGGCCGTCGGATGATGTCTTAGAATGCCGACGCTCTCCCTCGATCGGTGAACTGCGCTTTCTGCGGCGTCGGCTGTGGCGGGCTGCTGCGGCTTCTGCGCTTTCGTCGAGAGGCTCGGCATCGATCATCTCCACCTCAGGCTGGGAGTCTCCTGGGGGTGGTACGAGCTCGTCGGGCGCCACTTCGTCGCTATCGGGAACAGTGACTGGCTCCCGGGTAGCTTCTGGTTCTGCTGGTGGGTCTTCAGCGGGGAGGTCTCTGGCAGCCTCTGGCTCAGGGATTGGCTCCTCTAGCGGTGTCTCGAGCATTGCCTCTTCCGGCGTTGGAGTCTCGGCTGGGACTGCAGCTGCGGCCTCTGGTGTCTCAGCTGGGGCCTCGTCCGGAACAACTGTTTCAGCCGGGGGTTCCTCAGGTGCTGGGATCTCAGCTGGGGCAGCTTCGACAGGAGCTGGCTCTTCGGGGGTTGGCTCATCAGCAGGTGCTTCCTCTGGAATCTCCTTTGGTACCTCATCGGGTACGACTTCCGGTTCTGCTACGGGTTCTGTAGGTGTCTCGGTAGTGGGCGCTTCTTCCACTGGTGTCTCTTCCACTGGGGCGGGAGCAGGTGCCTCCTCAACTGCTGGTTCTGGGACAGGAGTCTCCTCTACAGCAGCGGGGACATCTTCGGTCACTTCTTTCACTTCAGCGGCAGGCTCTTCAGCAGCTGCAGGTTCAGGCTCAGCGGGAGTTTCAGCAGCAGGCTCAGTGGGCTCAGCAGGGGCTTCAAGAACAGGCTCAGGCTCAGGTTCAGCAGCAGGCTCAGGCTCAGCAGCAGGCTCAGGCTCAGCAGGCTCGGGAGTGGGCTCAGCAGCAGGTTCAGGCTCAGCAGCGGGTTCAGGCTCAGCAGCAGGTTCAGGCTCAGCAGCAGGTTCAGGCTCGACAGGCTCGGGAGTGGGCTCAACAGGAGCTTCAACAACAGGCTCGGATTCAGGTTCGGCAGGAGCTTCAGGCTCAGCAGCAGGCTCGGGAGTGGGCTCGGGAGCGGGCTCAACAGGAGCTTCAACAACAGGCTCGGGGGTAGGTTCAGCAGCAGTTTCGAGTTCAGCAGCGGGTTCGGGAGTAGGATCGGCAGGAGTGCTTTCTTCGACTGGTGCCTCTTTGGGAGTTTCCTCGACTGTTTCGGGCTCTACAGCTTCCACCTTGCCCTCCGCAGCAGCTTCAGGTTCGGCAGCAGGTGTTCCCTCAACTGGTGGTTCCTTGACAGGTTCTTCCGGAGCCTTTTCCTCTTCTGCTGCTGGTGCCTCCGTTGTTTCAGGTGATGGTTCAGCCTCCGGCGTTGGCTCTACCGCTAGCTCTTGCTCGGCGGCTGATTCTGGTTCAGGCGTTGGCTCTGCCGCTGGTTCGACAGCTGGTTCGACAGCTGGTTCGGGTTCCGGCGTTGGCTCTGGATCTGCCTTAGCACCCTTGCCCTTCTTGCCCTTCTTTTTCTTAGTCTTACCCGCTGCCTTTTCCTCTGCAGGTGGCTCCTCCGAGGGTGGCTCCTCTATGGGTGGCTCGGCTGCTGCTGGCTCTTCTGGAGCTGGGGCATCAGGAGGATTATCTACGGGCTTTTCGGGCTCAGCTTCAGGCTCCGGCGCTTTTTCGGCGGCTGGTTCTGGCGTTGGCGCTGGCTCTGCCGCTGGCTCTGGCTCGGCGGCTGGTTCGGGTTCCGGCGTTGGCTCTGGATCAGCTGCCTTAGCACCCTTGCCCTTCTTGCCCTTCTTTTTCTTGCCCTTACCCGCTGATTTCTCCTCTAGCTTTGGCTCATCTACGGATGGCTCGTCTGCCGTTGGCTCTGCTGGGGCTGGGACATCAGGGGGATTATCTGCAGGCTTTTCGGGCTCGGCGTCTGGCTCCTCTGTGGGTGGCTCGGCTGCTGCTGGCTCTTCTGGAGCTGGGGCATCAGGAGAATTATCTGCGGGCTTGTCGGGTTCAGCTTCAGGCCCCGGCGCTTTTTCGGCGGCTGGTTCGGGCGCTGGCTCTGGATCTGCCACTGGCTCCGGCTCCGGCTCTGGCTCTGGCGCTGGCGCTGGGTCGGCCGCTGGTTCGGGTTCGGGCGTTGGCTCTGGATCAGCTGCCTTAGCGGCCTTCCCCTTCTTGCCCTTCTTTTTCTTACTCTTACCCGTTGCCTTTTCCTCTGCAGGTGGCTCCTCTGTGGGTGGCTCGGGTGTTGTGGGTGGGGTTGCATCGGCTGATGGTTGATCTTCCGTTTTAGCCTCTGGGTTTGACTCTGCTGGAGTTTCGGCAGCCTCTGCAGGTGTTTCATCGGCCTTTGGTGCATCTTCCCCATTCTCTAGAGCGTCTTCGGCGGCCGCTTTAGCATCAGCCTCTTTCTCGGCTGCTACTGTCTCAGGATCTACATCAAGATCAAGATCTGGGAAAGCTTCGTCTACATACTGTCAGCTTTGTAAGGACTAAGGTAAATTTGAACACTGACCATCGTTGCCGTTATCGCCTGCTTTTTTCGTGTCGTCGCCTGCTGGAGCATCTTCTCCACCTTCGAGTTTTGCATCTCCTTCGGATTTTGCGTTCTCTTCAGACTTCGCACTATCGCCAGGCGCTGCATCGTCTCCGGGTTTTGAGTCGCCTTCAGACTTTGGGTCTTCTTCAGACTTTGGGTCTTCTTCAGACTTTGGGTCTTCTTCAGACTTTGGGTCTTCTTCAGACTTTGGGTCTTCTTCAGACTTTGGGTCTTCTTCAGGCTTTGCTTCCTCTTCAGTTTTTGTATCGCCTTCGGGTGCTGCACCATCAGCAGGTTTAGCATCCTCTGCGGGTGTCGCATCTTCTACGGCAGCCTCCTTAGAAGCCTCGTCGGGATTTCCTGCATCCGGTGCTGGCTCATCCTTGCCCTCTTCTTTAGATTCTGAGGCAGGTTCGTCGGGTTGAGACTCGGCTGGTGCGGCCTCTACTGAATCTGAGAAAATTGCGAGTTAATATCAAGTACAAAAGGTAGAAAATGAACCTCATCTATAGAAACCTGAGGCTGTACTTACCTGTGGGCTCAGCGGCTGCGCTATCATCTCCACTTGGCTCAGCGGAGGGATCTTCAGAGGCAGGGTCCTTCTCCGGTTCGGCGGTTTCGGGCTCCTTGTTGTCCTGGTTTTGGCCCTCGGTCAGATCGGTCGTTGAATAGGTGACAGGGTAGAAATGGAAAGAATTAGTCTCATAGTCAAAGGTCGTATATTGACGTTCAACCGATGCATATGAGAACTCAGGGATCTCGGCATACTTGAAAGCCATCTTCAACAGCGGCTGCTGCCGGGTCCAGGGCAGAGTCTTTATTCTCGAGTTCAGGGGGTGGCGCGGAACCGGCGGGAGAACGATTGTTATTATTCTTATTGTTCTTCGTCTTCTTCTTCTTGGGTGCCATTATACCCGGTCAATGACGTATCATATATCGAGGCCTAGGCGAGGCTGACTGGCGCGTGATGTGACGAGAACCGGGACAATAGGAAATTGACAAGTCGGCTTGTCGGGCTCGACACACGGAAAGGAATGGGGCAGCAAGGGAAATCGAGGAACAAAAGGTACAAAGGATGGACAATTGAGAGAGTGAAACTGGGTAGGGTACCTCATGTATTAGAGTACTAAAATGGAAAAGAAGGATATGCTTGTTTCTCTGGTGACACAGAGGTCGCATTGGACAGTCATGGTGAGGCGACGTATAGTAGTTCGTCTCATATGCGGTCGGATGGGACGACAACAAAGTGCATTACGGTCTTGGGCCCTGAACGTCACCAATGAACTGGCCGATAGAGCCAATTGTCATTGGGCCACGTTGGTCGTCGGGTCTCCATTTCCAGGAGTGAGGTCCGGTGCTTGATTAGGGCCGGGTGAGAGCAGTACGCTCCCCACCCGCGGAAATACCTGCAGCACCAAGGAGTAAATGGTGAGATGGGATTGGAAATCGCGGGGCAGATCGGTCAAAATAGGAAAAACAGTACTGCAGGATCGAGAAAACGGGTCTGTTGAAGTGGGGTGGACGCCATGGAATGAATTGGTTTGAAATGAATTTGAATTGTTTTGGTTTCGTTTGCTTTTGGGCCTGGATACTACACACTGAGATGAGAAATATGAATTGGGCCGAGGGAACTTGGCCGCTGTACACAAAGCCACGAAGGCAATGTTTCAATAGGAAAACCGATGGGCGACGCAGAGGTGATGCAGGCCAGGCCCATTTCTGCCCAACGTGTTCCGGTAGACGCGGCAAATACGATGCAGGCGTAGTACACCGCGGGTGGGGAGACCAGGGCAATTAACCTTCAAAAGGATCCGGTATTAGGGGCAAATATTGGGACTTCTAGTACATGTTTTGCATGACTGGTAGATTCGAATCGGAGATGCGAAACGGGGTGGTTGGGGCGATTGAGATTGTACGGGGCTAATAATGGAGTCGTGGATACTCTCGTGGATAGTTGAATCTCCACTCTCGACACCGACACTTCAGAGTATTGTCCGAGCTCTTTTCCGGGGACATCATTCTGTACCACTCGACTGTAAGGGAGTCAGCAGTTGAAATGGCGATGTAATATGCAGTTAAACATCGTGGACTGCATCAACAAATCTTTGAAGTGGAAGAGAGAAAAGTGGCGGAACACGAGTTTCTCGGGATCAGGTGATATTGCGCATTGGACTTGGACGTCAGATTCTATGTCTCTACTGTATTTCCATTCCACCTATGACTACAGAGTACAGAGTAAGAGTACAGAGTATGCAGATGCAGTCCAGCCGATCATTACTATCCTCGCGTCAATACCAGCCACTCCTGAACCAACCCGTCCGCCAATCCCTTCCAAGGTTTTTAACTTTGTCTGACTAACAATCTACAACAAGTTAACTAACCAACTAACTGCCTCACTAGTTACCTGGTCGACAGATCGTCTTACTTTGTACGGAGTACAACGGCTTTTCACCGGGGTCCTCTTCTTTCAAAATGACATATGTGTTCAATTCGACCGAAGGTACTCGGTACTCCGTACCTAAGAGATAGGTACAAAAGCCAACAACTATCGAGTCTAAAAAGAGCTGCATGCATGACCAGGGCACTTTTGTCTTTTCTAGCGGATTATCCTTTTTGTGCAATTACCGATAGTTATGCTGTACTTCCTAATACAAGTCCTTAGTCACATCGCCAGATACGGTCACCTATGTACCCAATGCAGCGGGCCAAGCATCCATGCCGTGTTGCGTGTGGTTAGCAAATAGCAGTCTAGGTGAACCCCTCGCATTTGTAAATATGATTCACATCTGATTATGATGTCGTTTGTTTCTATTCCCAGAATTGGGCCATGATTCTTGTGTTCTGGGCTCCTGGGCTCTTCGACTCTGTAGATAGGCATAAACATCACTTTCTTTGCCAAGCTTTCCTTTGCCACCCAGGCACTTGAAAGGAACATGCCGATCGGAGAGGGCTCGAGGTTAATAGACTCTTATTCGATATCTGATATTCTATATTTGATATTTGATATCGCATATTTGAGAGACAGGCTGTTTGAAGTATAGCTTAGTAAGGATGTTGCAATCTTCTAGAGAATGACCGGTGACTACCGGCATCATCGGATGAATTGCTTGATCGGCAATAATGGCCCATGGGAAAGCAACCGCCAATATCGCTTACGGAGTAGAAAAGCTCTGACTCCACAGCGTGACTCCAGCACATAATCCCCTCAACTCCTCTATCCCACCGGCGATCTTTGCTCCCCCTCACGATAGATACATCGAATGTTCGCTAGAAGTGCTGGCTAGTCAATACCATGGCGTAATGAAGCTCTGATTGGTTGCCTTGCTTTTTTTCACGGTGAATTGATACGTGCAGTATTACGGAGTAGAGATTGAAGTACAACATGTAGGTAATAGCAACGTCGCCAGCTTTATCGTACGCAATCAATTGCCCCTAGTGATTCAAGGACTCGAGAATGCCTGGTCGAAAAGGTAATGGGGTTGAAGTATTCACACGCGATGAAAACTCTGCTTAAACACATCTCAATACACTTCCCCCATTGCTTCTGACTCATTCTTGGCTTCCATATGTCAGCCTCAAGTCTTATCCAATAGGCTCCAACTCTTGTCAGATACGCCTCGGCTTATTTCCGATATGAATAACCCTACAACTCTGGTGCAAGGCGACGAATGTAGCTAAGAATATCGCGATTTTGCTTTCATATACTAGTTTAGAACCAATCCTCTCCTTCTGTAAGTTCTGCTCAAAGTCCACTTCCTTCACCCTGCTGTCGGATTGCCTTTAGGCAATATAATCATTTCTCCTCGTCTCGAACTGTTTGCCGCAGATTGGCTAAATTGGTTTCCACGCTGTTGACTACGTCGTCCGATGATTCCGGGTTCCCCTTCGAACCATCGGAATCGAGCATTGGGCGTTTTGCTATTCCCGCTTCGGGGGTAGTATCGCTTTTGCGCTTTTGCGCTTTCGGTGGGTTATCGCTCGTTTCGGGATCCCCTCAGTAGGCTTTGTAAGCACGTACCGGTTCTCCCTAAGCAGCTTGCGCAGTATTCCTGGCCTGAAACCAAAATATGTGCAGTGAATTTGCCATTGTATTGCTGGCAGTACACACAAGATTCCTCTAGGGTGTTATATGCCAGATCTGTCCAGAGGAAAAGAGTGCAATTTCATCCAAACTCGAAGTACAAGAGAGGACAAGAAAGAGAAACTATCTGTGTGTCCCGCCCTCCCGTTTTATACGTGTCCTTCTTGTAAACTGTGCAAAATTCAAATGGTGGCTCTTCACGCTTATTTGGATGTAGCTTGGGGAAAGAGCGAAAGTGCAAATATAGCAAGTACGTTCTTCGGCAAATGCGTTCCTTTTGGATCGTCACACAACTCACTTGCAGCTTGATTGCCCAGTAATTCTTCTCCGCTGTCATTAGCAGACAGCTGAGGAATATAATGGGTTCTGTCATTTCTGGTTGTAGTGGACGGCTTAAGTCCTTATATATGTAGGACTCCTTGGCATTATGCTCCGTCAAGCTTCTAGAGCAGACAACAATATCATCCAGATATGTTGGTGGCGTTTGTCTTTGGTTTATTGCCAGCCCGGTACCTTGTCGTCTCCGAAGGCTCTATATATTGGGTCGGGATATGCGGTCCCTTTTCTTGGCTCGTCGGGGGAGAGGCCGTTTCTTCTAGGCCATATTGGAGTGACTAAAGGCCTTCTCGATGAGACCCAGTGTGGTTACTATATTCAATTAGCTATATATCCCTTCTACTCTATGTCTTGGGTTGCGTACCTTGCCCAAGAACTTCCTCACTGGGGTTTTGAGCTTGAAGAAGAGCTTATAATGCTCTTTAGCCATAATCTCTGTGGCAATGATACTTTCGCTGGCCGCACCCTCCGCACCCTTGCTAACAAATTGCCCGCTTCAAATTGGTACGGGCTACCAGGCTGTCGGTACGCGAGTCACCACATTGGCACCTGTCTACCTCCAACACTTCCACGGCGGGTAGTGGAATAACTCCGCAGAGATTTAGCGTCACAACCCAATCAATCTTTTTTCGGCAATAGCAACGAGAAAGCTGTGTTAGACTCGGTCGAAGTTACAAAGTCTATCTGAGTTACGGAATTCCACGCAGTTTTCGAGGTCCTTTGGCACGGACAGCCCGCAGTGGCCAAGTGTTGGACACCGTCCGAATTTCAAAGGTTTGGATTGACCGCTCGAAGTCTGCTATTGGAAGTTGATATAGTGGTAAACTTATAGGTATTGGAAGAGACGATAACCTACGAACATCTCCAGGAGAAGCGCCCTGAGGGGTATTCTTTCCTCCCTTTGAGCTGTGTAGACGGTGTGATCCGCTGTTCGTCCTTGTTCCCATATGGCTACATATTAGTCCTCACCAAAGTGAAGGGAGAGCCGTTGGAGAAGAGATGGGCCGATGCATCTACCGAATGGAAAGAGTTCATCTACCGGCAGGTTCTGACTGCTATCAGTGCCCTTCGAGATGTGGGAGTTCTCTGGGCGGACCCTGGCCCCCACGATGTGCTTTACCACGAGGATGACAATAAGCCTTCTGTGTCTGTGATAGACTTTGAACGCTTCGAGCCACTTCATCCCGGGCAACTGCCCCATGCCAACCCGAGATGGCGGCTATCTTTGGCCTGGAGGCCTATCTCCTGAGAAATTCGTGACGATACCCAGGAGGCTAGAAAGTCGCATGTAGATACCTAGTCGATGTGGTTCAAGGCCTGCACCTTGCTATGAGATGATAATTGAATATCCCCCTGAGTTTTTTCTCATGATTTATTGATATATTTTTCTTTCTGTCAAGGGCGCCGGTCATTATCATCCTTTCAGTTATTATAACACCCAAAAGAAGATGGGAATACTCAAAGGGAACTCCCAAGAGTGTTTTTATAAAGTCCCTAGATATTCTCGAGCCAAACCGTGCATACGATAAAAACGATCATGAACGCCGGAGATAGAATGCACGAGAACGTCTACAGACACACTCTTTTACTTGCGACTACGGCAGGTTTTTAGGTCCATCGCGCCAACCGGGTTTTCGCCGCAAGGTATATATGTAGTCTCTTAAAGGTCTAGAAATAGCTCGTACCAAGGGTCCCCTACTTACAATATTTAGGAATAGTTAGCGGTTATATTCTAAAAGACACTAGGAAAGACCCCAAAAAGGTGCGATAGAAAGATGATAACAAAGTGGTCTTCTCTACGGGATGTACGAGCGATTTAGATACTATAGGTATTTTAGAGTAGGGCATATATCGTGTATACCATGAAAATGAGCCTGAACGCCGGAGATAAAATGCAACCTAAGTAGGAGACAACAAAAACAACTCATTTCCGCATGTGTTCATCCAAAGTCTTTCTCCACTTAGGGCCGTTGATTCTCATCAGGAAGATGACAGAGCTGCTTGCGAAACCGACGAGGCCGAGGATGGTGAAGATCCAGCCATTGCCGATAGCACCGATGATCGGGGCCGTGACGACAGAACCAACGCAGGAGAAGATGTTTCGCATGAAGTTGTTGAGGGCTACACCTTCCGAGGATTTTTTCGGCATGAATTCGGTGAGCATGGTGGTTACCATGCTGAAAATGAGCATGGAACCCATACCAAAGAAGAAGTTGGCAATCATCTATCAGATAGTTAGCGAGTGCTACTGAGGTATCGTTGAGATTAAATAAGAGTTGACATACCGGGACAAGCCAGAAGACTCCCCTCTCCGCGGCCCAACCATACCAGATCAGGGCTGCCGGGTACATGAAGGCGCCAAGCCATGCGTTCTCACGCATTCGGTCTTCCGGTCGTAGTACTAGTCTACCTTTCTCGTCGTATCGGTTTGCCTTCCTCGCCTCCCGGTGCATGATGCTGTCCATCCATTTGCCTCCAAATATACTGCTCACCATGTAGCCCAGCGAGTTTGGAATGTATAGCAAACCAACGATGATGGTAGAGAAGTTGTATGGCTCCTCTTTGAAGGTATGCTCAACGCTGATATTGAGCACATAGAGGGAACCGAAGGCGATGCTAGCATAGTACACACTGAGCAGGACGGGGAGGAATCGGAGGTAGAGAATGATTTTGAGCGGGTCAATGAAGACCATCTTCAAAGTCTTGAGATACCTTGCGGTTGCCCGAACAATCTGTTGCGACGAGACTCGACTCAGCGGGCGGTCGATATGTAGATCTTCCTCTTCAAGTTCAGCCAGCACAGGCTTGTGCACGGCCAACGTCTCGGGAAGGGCGAACAAGATAAAGATGAGAGTGATAGCACCAAATGCTGAAAGGAACCATAACGTGCTCCGCCATCCCCAACGCTGGGCTAGGAGACCGCCGATGATGGGTGCAAACAAGGGTCCACACAATGGACCCAAATAGAAGATACCCATGGCCCGTCCTCGCTCCCTGGGTTCCCAGAGATCTGCGATGGTGCCAGCACCAACCGCCTGGACAGAAGCAGAGGCACCACCACTCAACATTCGCATTACCACAAGCATCGCGATAGAATCCGAGATGGCGCAGAGGCAATTAAAGACCACAAAGAGAGCAAAAGAAGCCAGGTAGACGGTCCGTCGCCCAAGTCGCTCGCTAAATGATGACCACCACAATGGGAATATCGACATGGCCAGCATATACAACGCGATCGACAGATTAGTGATAGTGGTTGTCGTATTCAAGTCATCGGTTACTTGTGATAGTGAAGCTGATAGAATATTAGAGATGATCAGATAGATACATAATTTGGGATTAAAGACTCACGGAGGAATATCGCGCTACCCATTGGTGCTGTGGCTCCAGCAAGAGCGACGACAAATGTGATGAACCATTTCATTCGGCGAGGGTATGTCTTCGGATTCTCAACCTCTGCCACCAATGCTAACTGGCCAAACAAGCCTCTGCGCTTGGATCGGGCGACCTCGATGGGAGGACCAAGCTCCGTCAATTGACGTTCTAGGCGTGGAGGATTCTCCAGGTCGTCATTTTCTTCCTCGGCGGTATTGCTGGAGACACCCGAAAGGGAGTGAATGTCATTATCAACCTCGGACTTTTTGTCCGCTATGATTGTCGGATGTTCTCCACTGTCCGGGGATGCGACGATACCGTCTGGCTCAGATTGCTTGTTCATATTGGATGTATGTGAAGGGAAAGAAAGGCGACTCGTGCCAATTGAACATAAAATAAACCTGAATCAAAAAAATAAGGCGCATAAAGCTTTATAAAAGTAAAGTCAAGTGGAGTTTAACAAAAAACAGCCCTGTGGGAGCCCTGCAGATAGCCACTTGGGCACCGTAAAAGCGTCGATCTATTCCCCTGATATATAAGATCAGCAGGTATGTGTAGGCGCAACCTTGAGTAAATTGGATGTTGTTCCAGGAAAAAGTGAGAGAGAGAAAAATTCCGAATGCATTTGGAGAGTTGGAGATTTGTGACCGACAAGCACCGACAGCGACCGAGAGTCATAATATTATCTCTTGCACTCAAGCGCAGGGTCACAGTGCTTGATTATTCGACATCACGCTAGTCCACATGCTATCCCATAAAGATACAAGCCGGCTTATAGAGCCAGTCATCGTTGAGCGCGAATGTGCCGGTTTTCCGTCGGCAAATCCTGAAGGTGTCTCTCCGAGATAGATTGGAGACTTGAAGCGGTCTAGATGGACGTAAACTAGAATCTGGGAGAGAACAGATGCAACATTCTGATTGCATCATAAAGTATTTAACAGTCGCAATGGACTTACCTTGGCTTTCGCTTGGTATCCCTATATTGTACTTCCCCGGATATTACCTTGAGCTGCCCAGGTGTGTCAATAAATACCCCAGAGTCATATTCTTATCGTCATCTACCCCACCATATACAAGGTATATTGTAGGGCAGATCCAGGTGTACTTGCTATGATTATACAAATCTGTCGTTAGAACAGAGCGTATACCAAAAACAACCTAGAAACATCTTTGTACGCCGCATCGCCTATCTTCAGGTGGAGGGCTGCTGCAAGGAGGTGATTAATAAGCTTGGTGATACTGGCGATGGATCCCGGAGGTCAACATGGCATAAAGACGGTGAACTCCACCACGTCCCTCTTGACAAGAATTAATCACCTGAAACCACAGCAAAGCCCAAATCCAACATGACCAGCCCAACACAAACCAAAATCAACCCAAACGAGGTACAGGCCCACCTCTCCCAGTACAAGGGCGATAAATACGTCGACGGCTGGGCTTCCCTGTGGGACAAGGGCGGCAATCTGCCATGGGACCGAGGATTCCCTAATCCCGCCCTGGAAGACACGCTCGTCAATCAGCGCCCGACAATTGGCGCGCCTATCGCCACCGATGCACAGGGCCAGTCGTACAGGCGCAAGGCTCTCGTTCCTGGCTGCGGGAGAGGTGTGGATGTCCTCTTGCTGGCAAGCTTCGGCTTCGATGCTTATGGCCTCGAGTATAGCGCGGCTGCGATTGATGCGTGCAAGAAGGAGGAGAAAGATAATGCCAGTTGGTATCGTGTCCGGGATCAGACTATTGGCACGGGAAAGGTTACTTGGGTTCAAGGTGACTTTTTCGATGATGCTTGGTTGCAGGAGATTGGTGTCCCGTTGAATGGATTTGATATTATTTATGATTACACGGTATGGATTCCTCCTTTCCCTTGTGTGTCTGTCTACGTTGTGATATTCATCGCAAAGCGGGAATACATCCACGTGATTTGATACCAATAATTTTGTGACTATTTTTGTCCATATCTCATGTTCCTATGTTCACTGTTCTCAGGCTAACCATTATGCAGTTCTTCTGTGCCCTCGAGCCGTCAATGCGACCCAAATGGGCGCTCCGGCACACCCAGCTTCTGGCCCCTTCGCCAGCGGGTAACTTGATCTGCCTGGAGTTCCCCCGTCACAAGGATCCGCAGGCCCCAGGGCCCCCATATGCCTCTCCATCGGAAGCGTATATGGCACACCTGAGCCACCCCGGCGAAAAAGTTCCCTACGACGCAAAGGGTGTCGTCAAGCACGAACCTCTACGGGCACCGAGCAAAGACGGCCTGGAAAGAGTGGCGTATTGGAAGCCAGAGCGCACGCACGAGGTAGGCCAGGGCGAGAACGGGGTGATCCACGACCGAATCTCAATCTGGCGCCGTCGTAACTAGATCTGCCGAAAGGCCGAAAGGCACCTAGCAAAAACCGAAGACAAAAATAGATCTGCAATTGCACAGTCGGGTCCATTGAAAAGGCCACTGAAAAGGCCAAGACAGAAATGAGATAGCATTGGTCTGAGTGGCTTAGGACTTCTTCACAAGGGCATTGTAGTGTTCGCCGAGTCCGTAGGTGTGGCGGTAGTAAGCGAGCCAGATAACGCGCTTGCGCTTCTCCTCCTCGTCGAAGCTGTCGCTGTCACCAGACTCGATCTTTTCCATTCGTCCATCCTTCTGCACAACATTTATTTCCACACCGTATGCTCGGGCAATCGCCTGTAGCTCCAACTGCCCTCCCCACTCAGCGGTCAATTTAATCTTTCGAGTGTATGACTCTAGGGGCTCTTCCATGAACGCCTCGAAGTCCTCTTTATGTTCCATAATGAAATCTGCCGTGACAGCTCGAACAGCCCGGTAGCCATCGTGTTGCGGAGAGGCGACTGTGTCGATCCGTGACTGTGTCGCGGGCTGGAGGACGATTCGGCTTGGGTCCGGCCGCAAGCCGAGTCCGGACTCGTCGAGTTGTTTGGCAACTGCTGAGTAGAGACAGTGCCCATCCGGAGTCACTTCTACTTCCTTCAGACCCAGCTTTTTGAACACAGCATCCATGACCTCCTGTTCATTGCCTCTGTAGTTCGTTTGCGTCGCGGCTTCTTCTGCTGCGGCGGCTGACTGGGCGGCTTGCTCAGCTGCACGCCGCGCGAGACGAGCTTTTTGGCGATTTGGCTTTTTGGAATTGGGTGTAGAAGAAGGTTCTGGGGTAGGTTCGGCTGCTGGTTCTGCTACTTGCGGCTCCTCGGTGGGGTTGTCTTGTTTCAAGTCTCCGTCATCTGCCGCTTGATCATCTTCCAGACTGAGGTCTGCGAGGTCTTCGGCGGGATCTCCATTTAATTGTGCGATCTCGGCTTGTTGTTTCTCGGACAGATCGCGCTGCATTCGCTCGCATTCATCGTTGATTCCTTTCCGAGTTTTCTTGGTGGCGGACTTTTTCTTTTGCGTGACCCGTCCTTGGAGATCTTTTTGCTCTTTGCGGTGTTTTGACAAAAGGTCTTCCATTGTGGAATAACGAAACGAGAACAAACTTCAACAATTCTATTATAACGGGGGTATATGCTATGAATGAAGACAACCAAAACACCTCGAACCCCGCGGAACCCTGACGATGCAGCCCTAAGTTAAACCCCAAAGAGGACTAGTGTCTGCTCCACGGCATAAGGATATTCCAGGTCCGTGTGCCATCGTGTACCTCGGTTGATTCATCAAGTAGTCTTGGCCTCGGTAGTCTGGGGTAGGGGGTAGGTGGGACAGATGTAACAAATATAGACTTCTCTCTTTGATATTCTTAGTGTATTAAGTCTAAATCACAATTACACAATGGATTCCGCAAGTCTTTTCAACGTCAAGGTCAGATCACACGTATTCTACCTCTCCGACCATTCTAACGCGCTCACAGGGCAAAGTGGTGCTGGTCACCGGAGGAGCCAAAGGCATCGGTCGCATGATCTCAGAGGGCTATGTAACAAACGGTGCCACCGTCTACATCTCGTCGCGTGATGCCAAGGCATGTGAGCAAGCAGCCAAGGAGCTCAATGCCCTGGGCAAGGGCAAAGCCTACGCGATTCCGGCCAATTTCTATAAACTCGAGGAAGTGAAGAGGCTGGCCGAGGAGCTAGGCAAGCGCGAAAGCAGTAAGACACCACATCCAATGGAGAATCATATCATTTCTGACAAGATGTCTCTTTCCTAGAGCTACACATTCTCGTGAACAACTCCGGCTCGAACTGGGGCGCCCCCTACGACGAATACCCATCCGAGGCCTTCACGCGAGTCCTCACCCTCAACCTCCACCGCGTCTTCGATCTGACCCAGCTCGTCACACCCCTCCTGGAGAAAGCGGCTACACCGGAGGATCCTTCTCGCATTATCAATATCGGTAGCATCGATGGACTCCGTGTTCCCTCGCTCGAGACATTCGCATACACTTCCAGCAAGGCCGGTCTGCACCACTTGAGCCGGGTGCTTGCCAACCACCTGGGCAGGCGAAATATCACGTAAGTATACATTATATGCTTCACCTCTCTTCGTTTGATGTATCGAGAACTGATTCAATTTGCAGCTCTAATACCTTGGCCTGTGGTCCTTTTGAAAGTAAGATGATGGCTGCTACCTTGAAGACATTCGGTGACTCTATCAAGGCTAGCGTGCCTCTGGGTCGGATTGGAACCCCACAGGACGTGGCCGGGGCTTGCTTGTTCTTGAGTAGCCGTGCCGGTGCGTTTGTGAACGGCGCGACTATCACACTCGACGGTGGGAGTGCCGTCTCTGCCAGGTTGTAAGCAATGGAGGATATCTGTAAATAGCTGTGTTAGCATAAGCATTATTGGTGTTCCTAGTTAGAGAGGACTGAATTCGGGAGAGAATCCCTGACATTCCAATCAATGGCTGGTTACCATATTCGTCCAAGGGACAATCTTGTTATGAGTCACTACCCCAGAGATTTGCAAAATTCATATTCGCCTTTTTATACATCGCACCTCAAGAGTCTCGCCTTCAAATTGTTATCTCAAGGCTTATCAGGCCTGGAGCGGCGACATAAGTGGAGCGGCGACATCATCAATGGGAATGCGTCATTGCCTTTCCACCTCTGCCAGGCCCAAAACATATCTTTCTATCAAGTTCCCCATCAGTACCATCTCGCATCTATTCTCAAGCTTCATCAACACATTACTTGCATCTGAAATCGTCTTAATCGCCGAACAAGGATCCCCCGCCTTTTCTGACTGATCGCAAGTATCATCGAAGTACAGGATACAATTTCCAGCATCATATATCAGACCCGTTGGAGCACCTGTTCTTGCTGCTTTAAGTTTCTCGACTGGGAATAGTCGGTGTGGCCGCTTTCGTAACGCACATTTGAATTTCAAATTGTGCCCTCTCTTCTTCTTCCGCCACACAGACCATGAGCTCGTCAGATGGGCATACTCGGTCCGGTTCTAGCTCCACTGATCCCTATTCCAATCCAGATGTCTACTATGGCAAGGAGGATAATATCAACAAGTTCAAGGCGCGAAGACGTGCATTCTCGGTGGTAAGCAGCCACCCCTGAACAGTACCCCGCGGTACAAGGTACATCAAGCTTATCTTTGACTGGGATCTACAGGGTCTGAATGACTACAGCCGCGAAGACATCAATAACTTCTTTGGAACCTTGCCCTCTCGACGCGGTAGCCACGGTATGCTTGTTATAAATATGTCGGATATGCGGTCGGTGCGAAAGCTGACAGCAGGACAGATGAGGCATCGGGACAACCTCGGAAGTTCCTTATCGAGGTGGACGAGACGCTTGCGGCTCTTTTGAAGCAGGAAGATACAGACCAAAATATGCAGATCACCATCGAGGATTTGGGACCCAAGGTACGCTGGATGGTGTCAAACACAAAAGGACCACTACTAATCGATGTAGGTGATCTCGGTCGGAACAGCAGCGTCATCTGGACATAAGCGAGTCGACGTGCGGGGCACATACATGCTCTCCAACCTCCTCCAGGAGCTTACAATTGCCAAAGACTACGGTCGCAAGCACATTATCCTTGATGAAGCACGGCTGAGCGAAAATCCAGTGGCGCGGCTATCTCGTCTAATCAAGAACTCTTTTTGGAATGCCCTCACGAGACGCATCGATGGCTCCAACATCGAAGTGGCGGGTCGAGACCCCAAGGATTGGACTGCGGACCCGCGACCTCGGATCTATGTCCCGCCGGGTGCTCCAATGCAGTTCGAATACTACGAGCGGATTGCGAAAGAACGCCCCGAGCTACGCCTTGATGTGCAGATGCTGCCGGCTGTAATCACGCCCGAGTATGTGATAGGACTCAACGACAAGCCCGGCCTCCTTGCATTGGCTATGCAGAAGAAGCTCAACGAATCGACCGGGGAGACTGATCTGGTCGGTGTGCCGTTCGTAGTGCCAGGCGGCCGGTTCAACGAGCTGTACGGTTGGGATAGCTACATGGAATCCCTGGGACTGCTCGTCAGCGACCGCGTCGACCTCGCTAAGGGCATGGTAGTCAATTTCTGCTTCGAGATCAAGCACTACGGCAAGATCCTGAACGCAAATCGATCTTACTACCTCACTCGCTCGCAACCGCCCTTCCTGACCGACATGGCACTGCGCGTCTACGAGAGAATCAAAAACGAGCCCGATTCAAAGGAGTTCCTGCGCAATGCTGTTCTCGCTGCCATCAAGGAGTACAACAGCGTCTGGGTGACCTCCCCTCGCCTCGATCCAGAGTCTGGTCTGTCGAGATATCGCCCTGAAGGTTGGGGCGTGCCCCCAGAGACCGAGCCCACTCACTTCGTGCACATTCTCACTCCGTACGCACAGAAGCACGGGATGACCTTCGATGAATTCGTCAAGGCATACAACGCTAGGACTATAGTGGAGCCCAAACTCGACGAGTACTTCATGCACGACCGAGCCGTCCGCGAATCCGGCCACGACACCAGCTACCGCTTTGAGGGCGTGTGTGCTAACCTCGCCACAGTCGACCTCAACTCCCTGCTGTACAAATACGAAGTCGACATCGCACGAATCATCCGCGTGCACTTCAACGACAAACTTCCTATCCCAGCAGAGTTCCGCACACCCAAAACCCAGGACATCGAAACCGAGTCCTCTGCAGTGTGGGACCGGCGTGCGCGCAAGCGCAAGCAGCATATGGATAAGCTCCTCTGGAACCCTGAGAAGGGCATGTACTTCGACTACGATACAGTCAAGAAGGAGCGCACCGAATACGAAAGTGCCACAACCTTCTGGGCAATGTGGGCTGGCCTCGCGTCTCCCGCGCAAGCAGCTATTATGGTCGAAAAGGCTCTGCCACGCTTCGAGGCGTTCGGCGGCCTGGTCTCTGGCACTGAGGAGTCGCGCGGCGCAGTGGGCCTGGAACGTCCCAACC